TTATACTATTTAAGGTTTGAAAAGTAATTTTTCTTAGCCATATGTGCATTTAACATAAACTTCATTGATGCAGTATGTAGTATGTTTATTTTGTTCAGTATGCAGATTAGCACCGAAAAAACTGTTTAGCTAAAACTAAGGAGCTTATCAAACTTTCCTCATCAACTGCCTAGGAGGTATCTGAGTATATGTGAGCATAATAATCTGCTAAGGGTAATATGTAAAAGTATTCAGCTTATGGTGCAATAACCATGATTCCAAATCCGTCCTTCATCTAAAGATCTGAATATATGGAGCCAAGTTAAAATGCTTTAAATCTTCATGGCGGAGCATGACATTTGCCATGGTAACAATGTTGGGTATAAACTCACCACATTCACAATGAAACATCAAGTTTATTGATGGCAAAAGGTGGTGATGTGACTAAGACTGAATATTGTCATGTAGATGTGTTCATGTTCCAAATGCCAAAGTGTCCTTGAGCAAGATACTGAACTGCAAATTGTCTCTTTTCATAGAGAAAAATGCTGCACTAGACGCACTGTATGAATGTATGTGAATGTAAAACTGTACTGTAAAGACCTGTAAAGCATGCCCACTGCTTTGTGTGGTCATAAAGAAAAGAAAAGTGCTGAATGAACACAGACCATTTATCATTCAGGCAAATACTCTGATCAGTCTGGTAGAGGTTTGACCACACACAGGCTTCATGCACTTCCTGTTGTATCTAAAACACTAAAACTCTCCATCACATCACAGACCTGTTGGTCAATAGCAACAAAAAAGCAATTGCAATTGAACATCATCAAGTCTTAAGACCAACAATATTTGAAGTAGATCTGATGAATGCCTAAAGTAGTTAGCCTTGAAATAAGAGCAACAACAACAGAAAAAGATACATTTCCTGTTGTTGTTTTTTTATTCTGATATATATGTTCTCTGAATTTCATATAACTAGAGCACAATGAAAGTAGGGGGATTCTATTTTTGAAATTGTTAGGGGGGCAATCAGACCATTTCAGGATGCTTATATTCAATTTTTCACCAAAACAATTGTGTGTGCCAAGTTTCATCTCTGTACTGATGCTGCCTGACTATACGATTGGTTTTACTATAACAAATGGATGTTGTTGAAGTAGAAAACAAAAGGTTTAAGTGTTTTGTGCTTGGCAGAGTTTTGGGGAATATTTAGGGCCTGAAAATGTGTCTAATTATTATTGCCAAACAGTCTTCTTCCCTCCAGGTGTGTCTGCTAAAACAAGGCTGAGATGACTTCTCTCTCTTAACGTCCCTTTAATTGCAAGAGCACAGTACAAACATATGCCTATGGAGGGCAGGGCAGAATATGGGTGTGGTATGCGTGTGGTTCTACAAGAGGAAATAATCAAAGACACAACAACAATAAGAATTATGTATTACAATCAAAGGAACACACATCACACATATATAGGCTGAACACACGCACTACGCAGAGGCGGACTTAACCACCAGGCAAAGGTCGGCAATTACCTTGGGCCCCGAACTACCAGGGGCCCCTTAAGGAACCTAATAAACTAATGGATACAATTTGTATTTACTTTTTCGTTAATTAATCACTTCTTTCTAAAAGTTGTGGTGGCAGTTTCTGTGAAACAAGCACAAAGTCAAACACGTCTTTCTGTAAGTTCAATCCAGCATCTGCAGATGGACTCATCAGTACACATCACCTGATTGACATGCACAAATGAGCAAAGAACATAGGAGAATCTGTGTTCTTATAACTAGCAGCCCCCTCCCACTAAGCATGCAAAGGTTTTTATTACCCTCCTTTCACTCAGTGGAGGAGACATCCTGTCCATTTGTTTACATGTTCTGTGGATGACCCCCCTGTGAGATCCCAATCAGAGATACCAAGAGATACCATAAAGTTTTTGTTTCTCGAGGCCATAAAACTCAAGTCTCTTAAGCCACCTCCGTAAACCTTATGGTTACCCTTTTAGATTAACAATTTGGTCAACTCTTTGGTCAGTTATTCACATACATACATCATGCAATTAAACATACACAAATGTAAAATTTCCATTACAAAGTCCATATGCTAGAATGGCATCAGAATGCCTATAATTCACAAGTAACTAGTCTCTGCAACCCCCTCTACAATGGACTATTCCATGAGCATGTCCACAGAAGTGATTCAGGGTGTAAACAGACTGATGAGAAGTGTTGTGTCAGTTCAGTTCACAAGTTCACGTTCATTTGTTCTGTTTTTTATTGTGATGATTTAGATCATGTGTTTAGTTATTAATCGATGGTGTTGGATCATGAATCATGAATCTGTCACTCCGGTCACTTAAACACTGAGTCCTGACTGTGTGTGTGTCACGTCTCATGTTGTACTGAGCGCATGACATTATGTGGATGACTCATTTTTCATGATGTTTAAATGCAGCCTCATAAACTCTGGGATCAAACAAACACTAAGTTACTTCATGTACTGATCAGGTCCTGATAACTAGTGATGAGTGTTTATTAGTTCAAGTGAGAGCAGGTCAGAGTGGGAGAGGAAACAGAAACTGCAGCTCGATACAAACCAACTGCAGCTCTGATCATGATGCAGCTGATCACTGAGCAGCTGTGACCACAGAGAAACTGTGTTTCACTGTTTCCACTGTTCTTCAACAATGTCTCTGACCTGCTGCTTCCCGTGAACGAGCTCTGATCTCACTATGTGTGTCGCTCTGAGCGAGTGAGTGGGGCCCCAAAGCCTCTGTTTGTGTGCACGCACGCACACACACACAAACACATTTTCACTCGCTCCTGGTATTTCACATGATGGCCTTTACGATGATGATTAAAAAAAACATGTGTTTTTAAGAGAAAGACATGAAAATAAAAACATTCAAGGGAGAGGAAGAAAAAGACAGGGACAAAGCGAATTGGTAATCATATTCTGTTATTTTTTCTGTAACTCCATAATGAACCTCCTATTTCCTTGTGTGTTATCTTCTCATGTAATTAAAACAAGATAAAAGACAGAGGCCTATCTTCAACTTAATCCGAGATCCTGCGGAAAACCAAAGTTATAGATCACAGATCTTCCATGTGAATGGACAATATTGTTCATTCTTATTGTACAGAGATCATATTGTTCATGAAACTAAGATTTTACTGTGAGTGCATTTGTTTAACTGTTAATATGTTTTGTTGGGTTGGGAAGAAGTTACAAGTAGGACTTTCTTAGATAAATAAGGATTAAAAACAGATAGAGAACATAGGGCCCCATGCCTGTGTTCGCCTTGGGCCCCCAAATTGCTAAATCCGCCACTGGCACTACGTAAACAAACATGCATACAGACTCCACAGTCCACACATATACATATGCACATATATCTATCTAACTGTGTATACATATAAGCTAGAGCCCACCTATATAATTATAAATACTTCGCTTTATAAACGGAAAAGAGTAAAAAGGGCACCCAGATGGGCACTCAGGCAGCCTTTGCATAAGTAATCTTTCCTTTTTTACTGTTTTGCCATAAACATAATTTGATTATAGTTTATTTCTAGTTCAATCCTCAGAGCCAACTGAAGGAGAATGACCTAAACTACAAATCATCTCCCACACTGGATGACAGAGTTCACGTTTTGGTTTGTGTTTATCCTGCCAGTTCAGTATCTATTATGCCAAAAGACATTTTGAGGCAGATGAGAGAAGTCCGACTGGCAGCCAGTGACATGGGTAAGAGCAGTTTTCCCTCTGTGTGGACTAATGCTGCTTTAATGGAATTTTATGAATCAAAAACTAGGAAACGTAAAATTCTGTCATGGGTTTCTTTATCGACAGGAATTCCCCAACTGGCCATTATCACCAAAGTTGATGAAGCCTGTCCTGCGGCTGGAAAAAATATAAACAATGTCTATAAGAGCAAGTACTTGAAGGAAAAGGTATGTTTATGATGGCATTTTTTAAATTGTTGTTAGACTTAAGATCTTGTTCAGATCATGTCCAAGTTCGGTTTTCAGTATTTCATCATAAAAATCATCTTTAGTCACCTCTGTGCAATTCCATAATTAAAAATAATGTAACTCTAACACTCAGGTTGATGAATTCCATATGGCACTGGGCATTCCACACAACCGCATCTTTCTTGTGAAGAACTACACCAAAGAAATGGAAACAGAAGCTGGTATTGACGCTCTGATACTGTACGCACTGGAGCAGATGATTCACGCTGGAGAAGACTTCCTCAACAGTCTGTAGACCTGCACACCACGAAGAGAAATTGCAGGATGGAACCTGAAGCTGATGAACGGCTTTAAAAATGAATTTAACTCAAAT